GATGACAGCCATCTTGAGCACAGCGTTTTTATTTTCTTTGTTTCAGTGCAATGGTGAAGAAAATCAGCTTCCTTGCTTAAGACATTCATCCCAGCATTGGGGGGGCTGGTTTTTTGGGGAAAGGTGCATGTGGTTTGTGAGTAAATAAGGTCTATGAAAATTACTATTATGTCTCCTCCCTTATTTTTTCTCCTTTAGCTTGCATTCCACCCCTTTGCACCTCTTGAGTTTTCACATGCATCATAACATTTAGTGCTAAAAACTGCCATGCTGCTCCCACTGAGGGTTAACCAGTGCCAAAGAGAGTGGTATCTCTTGCCTACAATACTTGTATTCATTCAGCCCAAAATTGCATTTGCAATTTACAGCATCCCATTGTTGCATTTGTGATCCACTATAACACCCAGGTCTTACTTGACAATGCTGTTCCAATCTACTCTCCATTCTGCATTTGTGCTTTTTTCTTTCCTGGTATTTGTCTTTGTTGGACTTCAGTGTTGTTTTTATGGTTCAGTTCTTCAGTCTAGAAAGGCCATTTTAGAAAGGCTAATTTTCATTCCATAAAAGCCAAATGTAATCCTATCCCACTGCATGTCCACAGAATTGACCAGTTTTGTGTTTTCTGCAGATTCAGTTGGTATGCTCCATCCGTACCTACATGTTATAAATAAAAATGTTTAGCACCTGTGGACCTAGAACAGATCTTGTGGACTCCATTTCTAGACTTCCTGCTAGTCTGACATGAAGTCATTTTACATTTATTCCTCTTCTGGTTTTTAACCTATTATGTAGCCATCTAATATTTTATCTATCCCTTGTTTCTCTAATCTACTTATGAAAATGGCACATGCGACTGTCAGAGCATACTGATGTCCAGGTATATTATGTCCACCACATTTCCATTACCCACAAAAAAATTTTCCTTGTCACAGCAGGAAAGGAAATGAAGTTGTTTTGGTACTGTTTATTCTTAAATCCATGTTGTGTGCTAATGATTACCTCATTGTTCTCTAGATGTTTACAATTTCACTTGCATAATTTCATCCAGTAATTACCAACGTGTTCAAGTCAGGGTGAAAGGTTTATAGTTTTCTGGGTCTTCCTTTCCATTTTCAAAAGTTGTATCCTATGGTAGCCCTTCTGTCCTCTGGGACGTCACCTGTCAACATGAATTAAAAAATATTGTTGACACTGGCTTTGAGTTTTCTTTGCCCAGTTCTTTCAAGCTCCCTGGATTGCACTCCATGACTCACTTCTGACTTAAAATCATTCAAATTAGTCCAAAGTTCTGACACATTTTGCTAATCAACAAAGATTCAGGTTTTCTCCAATTTAAAAAAAATCCCCAATTTTTTATTTTAAAAAAGTAACCCCAAATCCACATTTTTTCATGATTTAAAATGAAACACTACTATATAGATATCTATGAATTAGTGGTGTTTCATTTTAATCATGGAAAAACGTGGATCCTTTTTTTTTTTTTTTAACTGAAAATTGGGTTTTTTTTTTAAATTGGAGAAAACCAGAATCCCTGCTAACCATCCACATCCCTTCCCATTCGTTCCTGAATATTATTTCTGCCAGCCATTTGGTTGTGAGTTTTTGTGAAGCCTCAAGCAACTTAGACAGATGTTAAAAGTATTTGGCCATGAAAATCAACAACCTATAAAATTGTGCAAAGATTTAAGCTGGTATTTATCCCATTGCTTTTGAGAAACTACTGTATAGAAAAAGATGAGTTCATCAGAATTTTTTTTCCCCTCAACATTTACAATTACTTGAATTAACAGTTTCATCATTAAAAACACAGCTGTTCTGTGAACAGTCTCTCATTTATAAGCACAACATATTCTGTTCAGGCTTCTATAGATAAAACTTACACATTGTGTTAAATCTAACAGAAAAGGAAAGTGAAGAATTTTTTTTTTCATGTAAGGGTTGAAATATATTAATTTAACACTTTGAAGTTCTCATACAAATTCTGACACAGCTTGCTTGCTAAAATTGTTTATGATGATAAAGTTTTGAGCTTAAGTTTGTTGGTTGTGTGCTTTAAATCAAGATGATTTCAGTTGCCAATTGGAAATGTTTGATCTAAACCATCTTTTTAAATCAGCTTTTCCCCTTGTAGTGAGGGAAAAATAAATAAATCAGAAGCTCTGAAATGGGGGTCAGCAACCTTTTAGGGCAGTGGGCTGCTGTTTGCAACCAGCTGCAGGCTGCTACCCACTCCAGAGTGCCTAGGCTGCCTGCTGCAACTTCCACTGCACACCACCACCAAGCACTTTGCAGGCCATATTTGGCCTCTGGGCTCTAGAGGCATCTTTACATGTTCTCCAGGGTTGCAGGGGAGAGGAGGGTGCTTTAATTACAGCATCTCTTGGGAGCCACTGTAATTAAAGCACCTGCAGTGTCTCATGTATTCAGCGTCCCACACTTCAAAATGGTAGCAGGGGCACTTGAACTAAAACTTGTTTGACAAGCTTTAGTTAAAGCACCACCACTGCCATTTTGAAGCATGGGGACACTGAATACACAGGACCCGGGGGCTGCTGGAGCATGCTAATTAACATGCTCCAGTGGACTCAGTTAATAGTCTGCTCTGATTTGTTCTAATTTGCACACACCGGAACAGCATTGTGCACACGTATAGGTGTCCTAGGTTGCTAACCTCTGACAAAGATGGATTCCGTGGATGATCCTGGTGGTTCTTATGGGAGTCAGAGGCACGATCCTAATACTTGCAATGGTTTTGCCAGTCTTTTACACCTAGTAGTCCAATTCTTGAGTCCCCTACAAGATCAAGCGTTTAATATATGACCTGCTTTGCCATATTTATAAAACTTGACCTCCAAAGTTAATATTTTATCCCGTTTCTTTCTATAGCACACTTCAGCATGTAATTTAGTTTTTGAAATAAGTTCATTGATTCATTAACGTGAATTGGATGATTTTTGTTTAAATATTTTAAGAACTTACAAGTCCCTACTGTATATTTTGTATTAAATTCAGATTTCATTTTAAATGAGTTTCTTTTTAAAAATAAAGCATATATATTAAAAAATAAAACCCCAAAACATGCTTTTAAAATGTCATCATTGTTGTCATCATCAATCACCCAAGAGCTTGAAGTTTACTTCTAGCATGACTAAAATGCACCGTTTCCCCTTTAAAACATGTTACGTTTTGGTTAGCTCAAAATGTATTATCTCCTGTGCAATAGTATGGCAGCTGCGGTCAGCTGAAGTGTTCGGCACTTTCAGTGAAGTATTCTCAGCTTTGCAAATATTTCTCCCTACCCTTCTTAATAGATTGTCAGAAGTTGAACTGGTTGACCTTCACGTCTTGCTGCAAGTGATCGCCCCACCCCCCTTGGTGCTCATCTGGGAAAACAGCTTGACTGATTTGTCTTAGATGTTAGTATTTAATAAAAGTTGGTTTTGTGGGGATTTCATATTTGGGCCATTATTTCTAATTTATAACTTTTTGCCTTATTGCCAAGGATAAAGCTATTCTACAGCTTGTACGGCTGTATACTATGTGGGGCTCTGTTCTGAGGAAAAGATCTTGGAGGTGTTGGGGTAGCTGAACCTATTTAGTTTCCCTCAATAGACTGCAAGAGTTTTATAAAGACTGACAAATACTGATGTTATGTAACAGTGATAGATCTGTAGTTTGAGGCTTTGTGTTAATCCCTAGAACAAGACATTTGCCTTGTAAATTATTTCATGCAGACCTAATAATAGAATGACGTGTGGTAGAAGGTGATCAGTGAGTTTTTGTTTTTTTTAATCCTGTCCCATTTGATTGAAACAATACGTGGCAATGAAAATAAATACTGCTTCTGTGATGTCATCTACTTATGCAGCTCATCTCTGCATGAGTTTAAGACCAATTTTGTATTCTTTAAATAAAAAAATTAATGTTTACAGATGTGAAAGCTAAGGGTGATTCAAAGGAAAATGAACATGAATCTCATGCTTCAAGGAATAAAATGAGTGTGGGTATATGGTAGTAGAATTAAAACACAGCCTTCAAGGCAATTGATGGAAGAACTCCCTATACACAAGTTTTAATTGCTCTGTGAATCTGTCTGTAACATGAGGTTAACTGGAGTGCACTTTAGAGAGTAAGTGCTGTGTCTCTGGCCTTTACTGAACAGAACAATAGGCTTGTGTCTACTACTTGGTTGAGATACAGGACTCTTGGGTTCAAATTCCTGTTCACGTGCACATGTCTTTGTATTGCCTTGAACCAAGTCATTTAATCTACCCAACAACCTGAAACATTGGTGCCAATATGAAGAATAAAAGCCATTTGTGGTTGTGATGCGCTTACCTGTGAAAACAGGGTATGTCACTGATGATCTGATTTGAAGGTCTGTGTTCAGGATAGCTGACAGATGCAGAAAGAGAGAAGTGAACAGGTAGAGTCAGAAGAATAGAAAAGGGTAGAAAAAAATGTATTGTGTTTGAATACTTATCATGGAGAAGAGGTGAGAGGTACTCCTTTTGGCGGGGGTGAATGGAGGCATTTGGAAATCTAGTGGAAGAAGTAAAGGGCTAAATCTTCTGACTTGCGATAGGAAGGGTATGTTCAAAAACAAAGGGATGGAACAGTTGGTGTCACAATGTCATTATGCAGGAAAATGCCTGAAGAGTATATGGCAGTAATAACTTAATCCTCTTTCCTTTCTTTTTAGTATCTCAGTTTAATTCTAAATCAACTCCATTATTCATCTGTAGTTACTGGAGCTTTATCACTGCCCTAATGGGTCCTAGGTATCCAGTATTGAAAACCCATAATTATTTGTTTTAAATGGCGACTGAATGAACTCAGTGCTTACTTATTGGTACACAGATATTTTGTATATTATTAAAATTAGAACCAAGCAATTTATTACTGATGGTTTGAATATTGTTCACAGTACCTGGACATTTTTATCATTCCCCAATTCTTCTAGCCAATATAATTTATTAAGGTATCTTTGATTATTTTAGAGGTGTGTTTGATGCTTCTCTCAAAATGGCTGGGTTCTATGGACTGTACACCTGGCTGACTCACACCATATTTGGAATCAATATTGTCTTCATTCCATCAGGTAGGTAAGAATGTAAACACATTCATTGTCATAAAATAGCAATATAACTGTATTGTAATTAATTAATTAATTATTAATCAGCCCTAATTATTTATATGAATATTAATAAGGCTGCGATATCAAACACTTGAAAGTTAGGAAATGTTATAATTGGGCTTGCCTCTGCGACTTCTTTTGCCTTGTGCTAATGAAAGCGGCAGAGTCTTTGCTTGTTTTCATACTGTTCTTTTCCACAGAATCCCTGCTTCATTCAGTATAAAGGATCTAGATGATGTTCGTTTAGTGACATAATTTAGAGGGTTCTTTTTCATCTGTTGTTCAATATGTGGTCCCCATTCTATCTGAACTACATATTATTTAAACCCTGCTCTGAACACAGGCTGAAAGGTGGTCTTATCCTCCGGTTAAGCTCCAGTTATGGCTAGGGTCAAAAGTTGCTGCTATTTTTTATGCAACTTGAGACACCTAGCACCAGACTTTTCCAGAGTACTTATTATTACATAACACTTTTTCTTCAAACGCTAACTTGTATTCACTTCAGTTGCAGTGGTAAGTGCTCATGAAAGCCAGACACATGGTGTTTTAAGTTGGGCACCAAGAAAATGGGAACATCAGATAAGTTGGCCACTAAGGAAAATTTTTATTTAAACAACTTGCTCATGTCTGCAGCAAAGACAAAAATAGAATCCAGTTTGCAAAGAGTAGCATCCAGCTGTTTTAACTAGGTGACCTCTGTTTTCTCCCATCTGATTTGCTGTACACCTTCTGGCGTTTGCAACATATGTCACATAGGGCATTTTTGCACATACTCTGTGAGTGGGACAGGTGGTGCTTTAATTAGCGGCTCCAAGAGCTGCTCTAATTAAAGCACCCACATTGTCTTGTGTATCAGCGTCTCCACACTTCAAAATAGCGGTGGGGGTGCTTTAACTAAAGCGTGTTGAAACAAGCTTTAGTTAAAGCACCCCTGCTGCCATTTTGAAGAACAGGGACACTGGTACATGAGACGTGGACGCGGAGGCTGCTGATGCACACTCATTAGCATGCTCCAGTAGACTGGATTAATTGAGTCTGCTCTGATGCACTGTGATTTACAGTGCGTCGGAGCAACTTTCCCACACATTTACAGGCACACCATAGGTCCTACAGAAAATCACTTCCTTAGGCAATAGCACCCTAATTCCTCTCCAAATCTGATTTCTCTTGTGAGCGCTGACTTATAAATAGAGGTCCTTCAGCAAAAATAATACGTGATTGTGTGAAGACTAGCATATACACAAGGTAGTCAAATTTAAAGTTGCACAGGCAATATTAAATTCTGGCATTCCTATCTCCAGAGTTCTTATTTTTCAAACTTAACTAGCTTCTAATGCAGGTTTTATACAATTTCTTGGGGGCGGGGTGGGAGGGAGTTGGTTTACTTGTTTAAAAAAAACCAAAATAAAATGAGCTGTTCCAGGAAAGAAGTTATCAATGTGCACTTTACCATGGACAGAACTTTTTCACCTAATGTAATTTTTGACAATGACTAAGGAATTTTGACTGAAATCCCTCCACACCTAAAAATAAGCGTTAGACTGGTTAACCTTAATAGATTGTGCATCTGGGCCTACCTATAATATATATTCAGATTTTTAAAGAACCCCCACTATGCTGATCACAAATTAATTAATGCACAAATCAAAGTATCTGCGTTTTGGTTAACAAAACCATTGCTCCTGTTTACTGAATTCATTCACTTTGATTTTGCAATCATTCACCCTTCAGTAAATTGAAATAATACAGGTGCTTCTACTATGTTAAATCAGGTAAGCCATAATGCCTTACAAGGCTGTTTATAAAACAAAAAATATATATTTGTAGTGAAGAGGAAATACCAGAAATGCATCTTGTTTAATTTTTTTAAATGCTCACGTGTTTGGGAGTTGCTCATTTTTGGCATCTCATTGTTTTCTATATGGAATAAAAATGTAAATTGTTAGAATTTTGAAAGTGGTTAGCTCTTCTTTTATTAAACCACAGCAGTGAATTCCTTGAAGAGCCTAATCTACCATCTATATTTTTGGCTTCTTACTTAAAGTAGTCCTATTGGTTTTTAAATGGGACGTTTTGTGCAGTAAAATTAGTAGAACCGTACCCCAAGTATGTTTGTAAAATTTAAATTTTCTAATCTTGGCTTTCTAACTTCCTGTACGTGATGTACTACTACAGCTCTAGCAGCAATCCTTGGAGCTGTACCATTTCTGGGGACATACTGGGCAGCAGTACCTGCAGTTCTAGATCTGTGGCTCGTCCAAGGAGAAGGCTGCAAAGCCATTTTGCTCTTGGTTTTTCACTTGTTGCCAACATATTTTGTAGACACAGCAATCTACTCTGATATATCCGGGTAAGTGTGTACCTGAAGACTAGAGTGTGGTATTTTTTAATATTGGGATTATATCCTTGCTTACTTGCATTTTTCTAAATTCTACAAGAACAAGCTTGATGAAATCATGTAATACCCAACGATAAATCTTGTCCAAATGGTCAGGACAACCACAGGAATTTCTTCTCCAGTCAGACAGGAGCTGTCTGGGCTAAATTGGCCTTGAAAAGGAACATCTGGTTTTATTTTTGATCAGGCCTGGAAGCAAATCTAGGAGTACAGAAATTTCTGTACTGTATTAGGCAAAAGAATAATCCAGTCCAATATCTTCATTCTGAGAGTGACCCAGTACCTGACACTTCAGAAGCTACGAGGAACCCAATAGTAGGACATTATAGCTTGACCAGTCCATGATGAAAGCATTTTGGTGTCAAATTGCCCTTTTATGGGTTCTCTTCACAGAGACTCTCTTAGCCCAGTATTGGGATTGGTCTCTGAGTTTTAAGTTTGGCTTATTATAATATGTTTAGCAGAACATTAGATAGACTGTTCATTTCTCTTCTATGGATAGATGAGGTTTGCCATAATCTTAATCACTGGTCTTGTTCAACTGGTCCATTTACTGATACTAGGCAGAGAGAACTGTGCTGAGAATATATACAGTGTTAATGAGTTTCTTCAGAGATTGTTAAACTGGTTGCTTTTCTCAGAAATTAGGGCCAATAGGTGCAGTATAAAAAACTCATAAATGATTATTGGAAAACTATTTTAATGATTTTAGGGGCAGTGATCATTTGAGGCCAGTAATTTCATTCTTCCACTTAGCTGTTAGACTGCTTTGTTTTATCTGTATGAGCTGACTCTGTTTACTGTCCATGAAATAAATGTGGTTGAAATAAATTTACTTGCAAGAGAGAAACTGTATACTTCCCATTAAATAAAACAGTAGACATCCAGCTGTCTTGTTGGTTGGATTAACTCTGTTTGGAAGAGCTGTAATTAGGTTATGGAAGGATTTTGAACTGTATTAAAACTGATATTGAAGTCATATTCCATCAGGTCATTTGCTGTGGCAGCTGCCTATAACTTAATAGCTTGGACCACAACATTTTAATTGACAGTTGCAGAAAATAAGTACAAAGAGTTAAATTAGGAAACAGTCACCACTTCATTTTCAATTAGAAGCACAAAAGGTAGGAGTAAAATCTTTTGTTTTGTCTGTGTCCCACTCTCTCAAAACTAAACTTACCTCTCCTCCCCCAACTGTTCATTAGGCCTCATTTGGGTCACAAATGAAATGGGTTTGTAAAGCATACATCACAAAATCATGATGTATTTTGTGTTAGCCCCATGCAATAGTAACAAAGGCCAGGGATAGAAGAGTGGAGGTGGTAAATTCAGGACTGTGGTATGTAAAAGATGGTGCAGAACTCTGGCCAGCCGGTGTGCTCATTCCTTCTCTAGAAACAGATACAACTTCCAGTATTGTGTACTAATTTAAAGTTATTAGCTTTCCCGTACAATTCTATATGTATTGTCATCATGTTATTTTAAAATAAGTAGTGTGTGTAAAGTTCACCTTTTAGCCTGTCAATTAGGGAGATTTTAGTTTTGATCTTCAGAAATGGAACATAGGCCAGAAACTGAATATTGCTATTAGTGTCTTTTAGATCACTGTCTATTAACATTTTTAATTAAAAGCAAAGCCTAAATTAGTGATGTTCAATGTACACCCTGTGTAACTGGATCCAGCCTGTGAAGCCATGTTAGCCAGCCTTTGGTGCTCTCTAACCAGCCCAAAAATTTTTGGATGCAGGGGAGCAGTGGCAGAATCTCATCCACAGTGGTGTAGAAGCAATGGCAGTGTTAATTGCCCTGGCTTCCAGAGCCGTGACAATTTAACATGCCCACTGCTTCCCTGCTGCCAAATGGCGGACCTTTAAGGAGCTCCATGGACCATATGATGTGACTCCACATGCCAGATTGGACCAGGGTTGGATCTATCATACTGGGGCGGCATAAGTTGAACATCGCTTGTTTAACACTTCAAAAACTTTTGCTAAGAGTTTGAGATGGTAGAAAAATTCTTTCTTTAAACATTTGTTTTTGAGATATGTAAAACCTTTATTCCTGCATCTCTTTATTATTAACAAAATTTTAATTACATGAATGTATCGATACTGAAATGTTGTATGATGAGAAATGGTGATCAGCTGTCTTGTATTTTAAAATTTTTTTACAAAGAAAATATTTTATGAATGCCCATTAGCTTTTTGTTCTCAAATGTTAAGTTTACCTAGAATGAGCTCCTGAGGGCAGGGATTATTCTTGAATATTTTGAATGTTTTATCATATCATAAACATTACCAAAAATGCTAAATATAAGTAGAATGATTATACTTCCTTGCATCATAAATAGCTAATAATAGTTATAAACATATTAAACCTTTTCTAATCAATCCATGTTTTTACAATGTCATATTTACCTGAATCCAAGATGATCCTGAATTTAAGATACCCCTTCCCCCAGTAATTAGATTCTATACAATGGAAATTAGAACAAATCGTGTAAACTTGTTCTGATATTCCACATATAGAATCTAATTATTGAAGGACTGTCTTAGTTTTCCCCACCACCACTGCAGCAGGGAAAGCAGTGGTAATAGGGCAAACAGTAGTGGGGAAGACAGGTGGGGGTGGGGAACTGGTGGGTGGGTTGACATGCAGCTTGCCGCATTCTACCTGCCCCCCTTCCAGCATACTTACCCCTCATCGTGCCTGCTCCCTGCTTACCCTTAGTCCATACCACAGACCCTGCCCCTGTTCCAGCCTGGGGCACGGAACACAACCCCAGCTCAGCCCTATAGCAGCAATTCTCTCTCTGTGCCGCTGCTATGGGGTGGGCTGGGGGCATGCTCTGTGCCTCGGGCTGCACCAGGGACAGAGCCTGCTGGAGCAAGCATTATGAGGAAGGTTGAACAGGGGGGCTGAGGCTGCAAGAAAGAGATGATGGGGAGAAAACCAAGGATGTAGCAGAGAGAGCGGCAGGGGATGCAGGGGTGGGGTGAGCGGCAGGCAGCAGCTGCATCTCTGGCCCCAACCCAAGGTGTGGGGTCAGAGTTGGAGCCACAGCAGCTGCCTGTCCCACTACCACTTCATATTTGAATCCAAGATGAAGGGTGTTTTCCCCCAATGTTAAATGAGGGGGGAAACCATCTTGAAATCAAGTAAATACAGTAATAATAGCCTATCATATAAGATTGTTCTCTAGCACTGTTTTTTCTAATTGGCATACACATACTGCTATGGATATGTGGCAGGCTTCTAGAGATGTGTAAGAGGTAGGGATGGGAAAACAAGGAGAAGAAAAAAATAAAAGTAAAGGAAATAAAAGGAAAAAAAATAACTTCTATGATTTTTTTTAGATTGTCTGAGAGGTTACAGTGTTATAGTGACATAAAATGTTACCTTTCTTTGTTTATCCATAACATGCAGTCATAGAGAAATGCAACCCAAAAAAATAGTTTGAGAACCACTTTTCTGTAGTCATTTTGCCCTCCTTTGTATTGTATTTCCAGAGGTGGCCATCCTTACCTGACAGGTCTCGCAGTAGCTGGTGGAGCATATTACCTGGGATTGGAAGGGGCAATTATTGGACCCATACTTCTTTGTATACTCGTGGTTGCCTCCAACATATATAGTGCCATACTAGTGAGTCCAACAAATTCAGCGCCCACACCATCACAAACGCCATGGCCTTTACAGATATACTGGTAAGTAGAAAAATAAAGTGTTGAATATGTCACTGTTGTACCTACTGTGCATGCAGTATGTTGAAAAGCAAGTGGAATCTTTATCAGGGGACAAGGCAATACGCCATGTTTATTGTAAGTGCAAATACATTAAAACATCGCTCTCAGCTCTTGCACTCTCACTCACTTCTGCCGACACTAAGATGTTACCAGTCTTTTAGTTGCTAGAGTCAGCTTATTAGCCAGCTAAGATGAACACGAGGAGGGAGCCGGGCCTCTGTTGGACATGTACTGATGCTCTGTTGTTGTTGTGTAGAAGTACCCAACGCTTCTTTATTCCCACCCATCTTTTATAGTAGCTGTTTCCCATGTACATCTATGGACCTCACTGTGTCATGGTGTTTACATGCCAGTTGCACACCTTCAGTTCCTTTGATTGAATCATGCATGGTTTGTTCAGACCCATTATTCCTATTTTGATCAGGCTTGTTGTTTCTACTTTGGGCAAATTCTTCTTTGTTTTGGGTTTATCTGCAACCGTTGGAACAGGAGGCTACTGCAACCTTTGGTCATTGACACTTTGACCTTTGAAACAGACAGTCATCTCTTACTTCCTTTCACATGCAAACTATATTTAAACAAAAAAACCCAACAAAATGGTGTTACACTTATGCCAAGCAATATAAAAATAAGATGGAGTCTGTCTTAGCCTGTCATACAAAAGCTAAGCTAAGTAATACAACAATAAAATGGATATAATCAAAGTAAAATAGATGCAAGTTAGTTTTACCTTAAGCAAAATAATACAAAAGTAAAATGGATAGAAGTTAATTTAAAAGAAAAATTAGTCCAGGCCTGACAATAGACCATTTGAATAAATATCCATATATAGGGGACACCATGCCATGTATTTTGTGAAAAGTTTGGAGAGGAATTGACTGCCTTGTGATGCACTAGAAACAAAAAATAGTATGAAAAAATAATACTATGTTACTTAGTTGCACAAGTTCACATATACAGAATATGCATTTCCCTCATCTATTTTTTTTGATAGCATGTATTACAGAATGCTGTAAAGATTGAAGGAAGCATGTGGAACTCCTAATATGGTAGATTTCTGATTCACATAAAGGATGCCCAGAATCCATAGTAATGGATGTCATCATATCTTGTTAACCTATGATTAGTGTATATTTGCCTTTGTGTAATACACTGCTTTTATATTTTGGAGATGACTGATGACCCATTTATGTGCTTCTGATGGCCATCAGCCTTAGTGATGGTAATCTGTTTGCCAGTAATATAGTCAAATGTCTTATGGTACAGTATTTTGGGGATCTGTTGAACCCAACATTTGAGGGCATAAACTTTTATATTATTCCTTCAAAAATGTTGTAGTCTTGCTTTGTATACACTAAAGCATAGGAAGCCAGTATGAGTAGGCCTGCAATTAAATAAATATTGAAAACATCTATGAAGATAATCCATTGTGCTTATATGTATGCTTAAGTATGCCTATAACATGAGGCTAGCCTCGGAAGGGTTTTACTAAGCTGTTTACAGGATTTTGGAAGTGTATAATTATCCAAGAAGGATGTTTACTGCTAATGTTTTGTGCCGAGTACAGCAGGTAATTAGAATTCACTGTTCCAGCTTAGTTAAGTGAGCTGAAGTTCAGTGGTCATAAGGAAGTCAGTAAGTGCCTCAGATGTAGTTTTCAAAGCAATTCAGAAAAAAATCTCATTGTTACCCTCAATGTTAAAAATAATGTAAAAAGATTTGGGTGCATTAGTGTTTGCAAGGTAGAATCCTGTGCTCTCCTTCAGTGAGTAATACACATGGCTCCATTGGAGCAGAAAGACAAGGTTCTCTGGGTAGATGTGATATTTTTTATTAGACCAACTAAATAGTTGGAAAAATTGTTCTTTGCAAGGTTTCAGGCACAAATGCCCTTCTTCAGGCCCAGGGAGAGTTTTTGTTGGAGTAGTTCACATAAATAAAAGCAGATTGTGCCCTAGGTTAAATTTATGTATAGCAGTAGTCTAGTAATTTCAATTATAAAATGTGAATAGACACACAATATGTGATTAATTTTGCAAGTACATATTTTCTCTTCCATTTTCCTTTTGTGAAAAACTGTTTGCTCTTCCTCAGCAAGCAAATATTTTCTTTCAGGTCATCTAGAGAGAGTCCTGAGGAAGCGAAAATGACTGCAGAATGATTTTGACGCCAGGATGTACCTATTCACTATGAAGTAGTTGTTCTCTTCTACGTTGAGGTTGGAACAGTTGTGGCCTTCTCTCTCTTCCAGCTGTGCCTAGTAACAGTTCAGTGAAGCACAATTTTTTTTCTTTTTTTTAAAACCTTCTAACATCTGCTGGCCTTGCATTATTAACACTTTATCTTTGCAAGAGAGGATGTCTACTTCCCATTGCTTTGCATATTACCATGCAGATTTAGAGTTCAGATGCCTTGTTTGTTGACTTTTTTTTCTTCAGAAAACACCTTGTGAAAGAGAAGTATATCCACTGGAGTCAGGTTGTGATCTGCTGAAGTGACTAACTAGGTATTTTTTTTTTTTTGGTTATTTGTATTATTAACTTTTGGTAACTTTGAACAGAAGCTATGTTCCAAACCTTTTGTCACTGGGATCTTTAGCTAATCTAAGAGTGTATTTCCTTAGAAACATTAAAATATTTTAATAGAGTAAAGCACTAATTAATTATCTGTTGCTCCTCAGCACATTTTTGACCATCTTTCACTTCATAGAAGATCAAACTTAGCATGCTTTATAAGATGACAATGTTAATGTTGTCAGAGAGTGGTGCTTCCAACCTGCCTAAAACTAACAAGACTTGCGATTTGTGTTAAGTAAGAGTTATGCACATGCAGCATAGGAATATTTGTTCAAACAATTTAATCCTTGTGTTCACTTTTGAAGTAGAATACTATCAAGTGTTGCTCTTTGGCTTACAACTTAACCTAGTGCACCAGGGTCTCAATAGGAAGATGTTCCCTGTGGATTCTTCTTGCCTGCTTGACCAAATGTATTGAAAGGACTTATGGTAGAGATGAAATAGGACTACGTGTCTGCTTGCAGTGATTGAAAGAGGCTGAATGATGAATGTGTTCACACTCTATTTTTCAAATATTTTTATTTGTATTTGTTTATTGGGGAAGTAGTGAACAAGGGAGGTTAGACTTTTTAAATCACTCTGTCTAAATATCCTGGCAAAATAGGCAGAGATCTGAAATTCTTTAAAATGTGGTATTATTGAGGTTTGAGAATCAGGACAGTGCACTATTGTTTTTCCCTAACCTATCATTCTGCTTGGATTGGAGTTTAAGTGGCACCTCTGATCTTTCATACATGGGTGCTAATGCAGGCTTGAATTCATGCATTGTTTCCACCAGAAAAAAATGGAGGTTTGTTCTGTAAAATGTCTTATGCTCGAAAGATACGTATCCTAAAAACTAAATTTCACTCCACCTATTGTTTAGTGAACACTCCCCTGATCAACAGGGCCCAGGACAAATGATCAGCTTTATGTTTAGCTAGATCATATCTATTCAATTCCTGACTGAATCACCTTGAAATTTATTGCAGGGTTTCTTTATTCTTAAGTGTTATGCCATGTGCTACACTGTCTATTACATTGTAATGCCAAATACCAGTACACAAATCTGACCACATAAACTAAGTTATTCTTCTGTAAGGCTATATATCTGGTTCTACCCAAGTTACAGAGGTTATAATAAATCTTTGGGAGACTTCTGTCATGGCAGTGCATGTGTTCATAAATAACCCATAATATTGAATTTTTAGTTTCCAAATAGGGCTCAAAGTATGATTTTTAATACATAGCCAAATATTGTAGATTTGCAGTAAAATGGCACTATCAAGAGTCAAATTTTAAATAGCAGAGACTAAATTCATGCTTATCTTCTCATTCTTGACTTCCTTATCTAAATAAAGAATTTTGTGTGTGCGCAGCTTTTGCACTTGCAAAATTGCAGGGCTAAAATTGGAGCCCAGATGAGGCCTCTTAAATATTTAGCCTTAAGGATTTAATGAAAAATTACTAAGTAAATAATATATATATGCAATTCATAAGCAAAATTCAAACTGATATAAATATATAGATGTATCAGTTTGAATTTTGCTTATGAATTGCAAGGTTTATAGGTTAATTTAACATGCTGCACTGTGTAGGCACAATATGTGCAGTTATGGGTGGATGTCCAACTCCCAATTCTTTTGCTTTTATGGGATCAAGTTAGATATTTTAAGTAATTTAATGTGTCATTGCTTTATACATGACAGTTCTGAAAAAAAGTTTAGGATCTTATAAACTGTAAATTTTCCTGTGATATTCAAACTAGTATAGATGAGATTGTCATGACACTTGGGAAAGTGATGTATTTTTCTATATTAGTTCATGCTTCAGAGTTGTATAGCAGTATGAGTCTTTTTTGGTCTGTCATGTTACTTACTGTGTGCTGCCTATCCCACTCCCTTCAGAGCTATACAAGAGTGATATCACTCCCCAAAAACATTATATCTTTAATATTTTTTCAATATTACTTTGGTATTTTTTCCACTGTCAAGTTATTTGTATTAGGGATTTTCTGTCTGATATTTTTTCTGACCTGATTTCAAAATCCTGAATTTGATGTTAAGGTTCTTTCTGTGGTAAAACAGACTCCCATAACCAAAGAATAATGATCTTTACTAAAGCATCCAAGTAGTAACTAGCCAGAGAGAGAGTTCTCTTCACATAAGGGGATATTCATTAATAATAAACTAATTCAGTAAATTGAGAAAATGTTACTATTTTGAAGCGTTTCCATTGCAGTTTGAAGATCATAATTTTGTGTGGCATTTATGCGTGCTTGGTTCAATATTGGTTGGCTTTTTAAATGATTTGTTGTACTCAAGACTTCAAATACAACTAAGATTTGCTGTTAAGAATCTATTGTTATTAAAGTACTTTTTTTTTTTTTTAAACTAACCCTACATTTTAAGATCAGAAACTCTGCCATGGCTGCAAATAGAGAAACAGAGGCTTTGTTTTGCATATATGTGAAGTATGGGAGTCAATGGCAGTTAACTCCTCTTTAAAAAATAAAATAATCTAGTTCTCCAACTATAACATCTTTCATGAAAAAGTACGAACATTTTGGTTATCCAGTTTTTAATATGAACTTACTGTAGCATTTTGAAAAATAGTGCCAAAAGGAACTAATAACTTGGATCTTTTCACATTTAATAATAGATATTTTATGGAAATGTGCAGCATCTGAAAACAGTAGAAAAAAAATCAACTTCACAGTTCATTCAAAAAATAGAAGCTTTGGTTTTATACACCTTATATGAAATTTAAGCTTTTAATCCACTTGTAGATACCAGAAAAAAAAAATAGATGATTTAATGCACCTTTTTCTTTAGTGATATTAAATTGTAGGCTCTTCTGAGTAGGGTCCTTCTTTTACTCTGGCCTGATACAGTTTGTTCCCTTTGTGTTACAGTAAAGCAAACATTGTAAGCTAATCTTTCTAGAGTATGTCAGACATTGCACTGAACATTGCATGGGAAAATAGAGAATTAATAATTTAACTGTTTGAAGAAGTCTGTAAGTCTTCATAACCCAAGAGGCGTGTCCAGATGAGTGCAGTTGTGCAGTGTGTGGTGGTGCAAACACATTTGCAGTGCCCCATATTGCACAGTCCAAGGTTCTCTGCGCTGCCCGAGTATGTGCTGCACCAGGTTTTTTTCCGCAGGTTTTTTTGACCTGTGGACATCCAGAGGTCAAAAAAACCAGTGCAAATAAGAAATGGAGCAATGCATGCTCAACCAGTGCATGCGCTGCTGAAAAGTGAAGCCGGCCTGCCCAAAGTCACACTCTGCTGCCGGTCAGGCTCCGCGTGGCAGAATCACCATGGCTGCAGCCCTGGGACACTCCCAGGACCCCAGATAAGGTTGCTAGGGCCCCAGCCTCCTCCTCCCCACCCAGGGTAACTTGCAGCACACCAAAGCGTGCATGCCTCGGGCATTCCCTGGGGACAAGAAGTGGTGGTGCAACATGTGCCACCGCTACTTGTCCCCAGGGAACCAAACATCCACACACATCTGGATGTGCCCAAGCAGTGCATGGGTGATGATATAAAATGTGTCAACTGCATTATAATGATTTTGTTTAGCACATAAAGTTTGTTGCAGATATAGTTGCCCCATGGTTCACACTATTGTGATTTGTGTAGAAAAATGATTCAGTCTGCCTTCAGTAGCTTTCAGCATATTCCACAAGTTTGTTTACATTTTTATTTTTGTTTTAATTGTCTGGTTAGGTACATGAGTTCTAGTTAGAGTAATTATTACATAAGGAAATCTGATCTTTTTCTGGAAAATTACAGACAATAAGAGAAAATAAAATTTTGCATATAGAAAATATAACTACAATCACCACTGTTAATAATGCCAACTTCATTTCCACAAAATACATGTGTATGTAGGTTTGTAAAGTTAAATATAATCTTAAAAAGCCTTAATCTACATACAATTATAGTCCTTTTAAACATCTTAAAAGAAAATTCTGCCCTCATAAAGGTTAAATACATTTAGTATTTGTGTTATAAGCATACATTTATTATCACATTCCAGTGTTCAGTGCTTGTCTGACACTAAGGTGAAATAGCTAAGTCTTTTAAAAAGATGCTTTTGCAGTAAAGCCATCTGAATTTTTGTAAGTGAATTTAATCATTGTTTAACACGGGCCAGCATTTAGTTTTTTACAAGCATTGTTGGAGTTCGCAGTTTTACAAGCAAGAGGATTGGTTTCTTAATCCAATAAACCGTTCTTCTAATTACAGATGGCATGCATTAATTCTTCAGATCCATCATCTTCAACAATCCTTTTTATTATTTGGCTTCTCTTTTAAGAGTTAAAATGTCATTTTTCTCCTCTTCTTTCTATACTCCTCTGAATTACATAAATGCAACAATGCAGTTCTTCCCCTTTCATTCATAGTTGTTCTACAAAATAGAATTGTTTTAGCATGTCTAATAAATGCCACACAGTTTTCATCTTTAATCGTGCATTGTTTCAACCAGGTTAATTCAAGTTTTACTGCATGCTTTATCATGAATGTCCAAAAATATTTTTTTATAAAGAGACGAAACACAAAAATGCTTTTGGAATCTTGGAAAGTGAGTTAGGTGTCCTTTAACCAGAAGCAGTTTCATAGGTAATGAGGGAATTCAAGGATTCTATATCTCATTTGTAAGTCAATATATTTATAGAGTGTGCGTGCGTGTGTGCTCACAGAAAAGGAATACATCTTGTATTTAGATTTTTTTTAACTGAAACTTTGTGTTCGAATTCCTAAGACAATCCAGGAAAAAAAATTCACACGGTGACAGTATGTAGTGAAAATAAAAATCTTTCTGAAATTCCTATATTTAGTTGGCAACGGTGTGACAGAGCAAATTGGTGAAGAAATCGAAGGAGAGAACCTGGCAAGTATCTGCTCAGGTGACTAAAATAGTTCTGATTTATTGTAGTATACTAATCAACAGCTTGTTTTCATTTCTGGTCAAGACTATTAGTCTTGAAAGTATATGCACAAGTTAACCAAAGTACTTCCAGCCTTGAGTCTTGAAGTAGCAGGCTTTCAATCCCCAAATTGTACTGTTCTTTTCTCGCACTTAGTTGAATACTTTGGTGACTTATACACTGCCAAAAATGAAGATTATTGCTTTACACCACAATAAATTAGGTTCCAAGATGGACAGTGTGTTTTTTTTGTTGTTGTTTTTTTTTTTTTTGCAACAGACCTGATTCAGGAAAGCATCCATTCATAGCAGATCCTGTTGAGGCTGGTTTTCAGGTCAAGTACGTGTTTGTGTTGGCATAAACCTTGAACTTCATAACGTGTGGTGCTAGTCCTACTGAAAATGGCATCTTTTAGGGTAGGGATGTTCAACCCCCAGCCCGCAGAGCCATGTCATCTGGCCCGAAGCGGTCCCAAAGGTCCAAAATGTTTGCAGCAGGGGAGTGGTAACAACAATTGCCATTCCCCTGCTGCCAAATTTCCAGATTCTTGGTGAGCCTCACGGGCCACATACCACACTGGATCTGACAATGAAGGTGGCCCAGGGCCTGATTCAGGGAAACAGAGGCTGGCTAGAGATAGTGCATGCCCTGATCCTGTAATTCAGGGCTGTGGAAAGCCAGTTCAAAGCCCAATCCTGGCTCACAAGCCCTGATCTGGTTCCCAGGCTGGCCGCAAGCCTCTCACCCAGTCCACACCAGAAAAAGGTTGAACACCACTGCTTCAGGTTTGTGTCTGTTTGCAACAATACAGTGTTATGTAGAAAAGTCTGAGCTAGCCCTGAACAAGCAGAATAATTGAATAGTATTTTAGTCTATGTGGAATGCTGTCCAAATGCAACTCTGCTGCTCTGGTACCTAAACTTTTTTGAGTATCTTTATGTAGTACTGCATTGAGCTTTGTAGGCATACCCTTAGTCAGGTTGGAATTATAGCAGGCAGGGGGAAAAGATATCAAGACCATATAGTTTTACAGTGTAAAGTAGCATGCATTTATGGCTCTGATGATTTTTCAGCATATTGGATTTAAAAAAACTGTTGTTAGTTTCTCCATCTAGTCTTACTTTTTGTCACTGTACTAGAAGTGGCTATAGTAAGTCTTTGACACGTATTCAAAATAATTTTCATTCTTTGCGTGAGACTTTATCATAGTAAAAACAGAAGAGCATCATACAATTGTATGATCGCACAAAAAGAAATAACTACAAGACAAATTAGTTAAACCAAATTGGCATCCAAACTTTGGGGTTGGAAAAGTAGCAAAACCCCCAGAGTAGGCTGCCTTGCTCTCAGTCTCAACCCAAAGACTAAGCTGCTATGTCTGCTATAAGTACCTTTTGGAAAGTGTTAGCGAAGGCTGCCTGTAATTTTCTTGCTGTGTGAATGGATGTCTTGGGTCTTGGGTGTCATCATCCCTGATATATCTCAAGCACTAAATTCACTCAGATTTTTATTTCAAATGCACTGCAGTGTTTAGTGACTATTAGAAGGGGAAAAATATTTTCTAAGCTAATAA